ATCCTTACCGTAAAAATCACCAACATAATTGGATAAAATTTACCAGCATTTTCAATTATAAAAGGCTGAATATTACAAATATTAAATGTTCGGCATACAAATAAAAAAACAATTAACAATCATAAGAACCACTAAAAAATCCGATTAAATTTTTTTATATCTCTTAATGTTACCTGAACGGTTTCGCAACATGACATGTTCCTGAGTTTATCGCGGAAGAGAAGGTGCTTCATGTACTTAATAACTTAATACGACATCTAAGACTATCATGTCTCATTGGATCCTTCTATTCCCCAAAAACTTTTAAAATGAAGCATGAGAAGGCTTACTTCGTGATCAAAACTATTTACCATGAGGAAATATTACCAATAAAATGAAAAAATGAATAAAAAATTAAAAACAACATTATGTCGAAGTACGTACCAAATTGTAACAAATGCAATTATATATACCAACCGTTATATTGTACCCAATTATACTAATTATATTCTATGTGCAATTAGCTTGCCCTTGAAAGACGAAATATTAAAACAGTTTTAGACATAAAAGATAAGAAATTTCAAAATTCTCCATTGTGGACAATAAGATTTTTGACACAGGTTGCCGGTAGTGATGAGATGTTGGAATTGTGGGAAAAAAGCAAAGAACGGACAAAATCATGCACAAGTTGAGTTTCAAAAGAATAACTCTTGCGACCTAAATGCTTAGCTCCAGAATTTAAAAAACTCACCGATACAGACAAGGAGGGACGAAGTATTTCGGGTCTTCTAAATAACAAATTATATTTGGTGGCAAAGGTAAAGATGCAAGTAGCTCTTTCTCAACACAGTTACGTATGACCACTCTACACAAATATTTCAAAGATGGCAGAAGTTCGTGTCGGTGTAGCAAGTGATTTAGCTCAAGAATTTCGATCTCTGTACTATCATTTTTCGGGTGCATTAACATGCAGATTCGTCTTCTACCGCAGCTCTGCAACGAATTTTCGATGAATGAAACTAACGAATTCGCTTTCACCAATGAATTTGGCCCTGAAACATGTACTTTCAAATTGAAAAATATGATAACGCGACAAAATACAAGTATGGTATATGTTCAGAAAGGGAGAGGAGATTACGAGATTACTCGTTACAGCAGCCATTATTTTATGGAATTAAAATCAAACATCTTACTACATAGTTTTCATTCAAGCTAACCATAATTTCCTTTTCTGGAATTACAGAGTTGATTTTTCTCCCTAAAAATGAGGAAAAATTTCAAGTTCATGTTCCTTTAAATTTTGCAAGCTATATAAGGAAATACTCAATATTCTCAGAAATTCAGTGGAACACACTATACTAAATATATAGATGACACAGCTGAACGTCCAACACAGATGAACAGTACTGTAAAGTGCTACAAAGTCATCCATTTAAATTTGTTGATTGTATAACCAAAATAATTTCAAATATAATGATAATCAAAAATATACTAATAATAATCAATTACACTCATTTAAACTGATGGTGTAATAATAATAATTAATAATGATAATTAATAATAATAATTAATAATAATAGCTAATAATAACAATTAATAACAGCAGTTAATAATTAATAATAATAATAATTATTATTAATAATAATAATAATAATAATAACAATAATAATAATAATAAT